CATGAAAAATGTTTATTGGGGAAGTGGAGGAATACATTTTTTTATCTTGTGCAAACATATTCTACCAGAAGTATCCATAGTATTGCCACAGATTATTACTTACTCTGTGGTATTGCGCTACATATTGAAGTTTCTAATTACTCTGTGCGTAGAGAAGAACTCTTAAGAAAATACTTACAATGAGTAGGAATATATAGGAATATATCTCTTATCCAATTTGTTTCCGTCTAAACCAAGTTCATGTCAGTGGTTTATTTTCCAAAGCTAAAAAAACCCAAAGTTTGTTTTTAGTATTATATTAACAGATAAAGCCTGTTTTACACGAAACTGAATTTGAAACTATAATTACCTACCTACCCTAACCTAATTATAAATTTTAGAATTGAATGAATTGATCGATGAAAATCCCCATACGGGTATGGCAACATGAATTTTTAATGTGCGCTAGAACGTAGGTTATATTTGCTTTAAGAACGTTAAGACACGAAATTGTTTCCAATACTTAATCAGTAATTTTTTTTACTATTTTTAGCTATGAATATTGAAATAAAACTAACGACGGATTCGAAAATCTTGCACATCCATTTGCTTCTGCAGCTCAGTCCAACCTCCTGTCATAATAGGTCTTGTCGTAATACAAGTTTTTCGAGCGTTTTCGAAATTCACCAATCTTTCCAACCTGGCTGGAAATGATCAGAAAATACGTCTCTGCGACAGCCAAGCACGAGATAAGGCATGCTAGACCTAAATAGGAAATCCCTAGGCTCTACCATGGACACGGACACGCGAAAAAACTGAAAGTTGGAATTTTACGCATGTTTCCCTTTCCCGACGACCTACGACGTTCTGGATAGGCTCGTAAGGATCGTCGTGACCCAATTACTAGAAACCCGGTCGAAACAAGACACGTTTCTAAAGGATCGGCAGCCAGAGCCGATAAATCGAAGATTTACGCATCTTTCCATATTCTGAGCCGCTACAGCTGTTCAATCGTTCCCGGCGACCTACGACGTTCTGGATAGGCTCGTTAGGACCGCCGCGACCCAATTCGACAGAAACTGAGTCGAAACTGAAGATAATTCCAGAGGATCGGACGTTAGAGCCGATAAAGTGGATTTTCGCTAATCTTCCCGAATTTCGAGGCGCCACCACTCACTAATGGTTC